AACAGTTCATAGGTTTCTATTCATGTTTGGTATGTTTGTGTTTGAAAATTCTGTCCCGAGATGATGATATCAGTCAATTATTTGTAAAACGTATCATATTCTTGTTATAGAAATCATGTCTAAATTATACTCTCACATAGTATAAGACTATGTGACATGACACACGTTGATTTGTGTATTGGGAGGTGAAACATAGCAACCCCCCGAAATAAGACAATGTCTATTTGGTCAAGACACTATTTGACATGTGTCCAACAGATGAGTTTAAAAACTCACAACACCAACAAATGTAGCCTTTTTGGGCTTTTTCCCACTGCTTTTTGTGTTCTTCGAGCGCTCTTCCAGTGTGCTTTGGCTTGCACGCCCGCTGCTACTCAACCACCATGAGAAGATAAGCCGCCTAGTCTCATCAGCTTTTGTTTCTTTCTTCTACGTCAGTTTCTTTTTTTTTTCCCACTGCACCTTGTGTGAATGTGTGAGTGCGTGTGTTTATGTGTTAGATTAGGAAAACCCACAATTGAGGTCACTGTATGGTTTGAAAAAAAAATTCCACAATTAATACACTGAAGTACTTTCATGTTAGCAATAACTACTCATTCGATATAATGCATGACCTTCTTAAGAGCGTGGCTCAATATGAAATCAAATTGCTTTTTGGACATCTCACACACAAAATTTATATCTGAAGAGGATTTACTTTCAAGGATTTATTCTTTTGATTATGGATATTTAGAACGTAAAAATCATCCCACAAAGGTTATTTTGGATAATGTCTGAATGGAATTTAAACCAATGGTATTACCAGCACTATGTCTTGTGAAAAATCTCCCACTTTTGTTAGGAGACATTGTTCCTCAAGGACACAAACACTGGAGTTTGTTGCTTTTGTTACTTCAAATAATGAACATTGTGTTTTCACCTTGTCTCACTTCAGGCTTTACCCTGTATTTGAAGCACTTGATTGCTGACCACCACAAATTAAGTACTTGTATCCACATAAAAATTTGATTCCCAAACATCATTACATGATACATTACCCCTCTTCTATAAGGAAAATTGGCCCCTTATTATATATGTGGTCAATGAGGTTCGAAGCCAAACATAAGATGTTCAAAGATTTTTTATTTTTTTTATTTCAAAAACATAAAACCATTAGCTAAAAAGCATCAGATGGCCATTGCTTACCATTGGGAAACCTTCACCCTCAAACATAATGAGTTTGGGCCAATTAAATAATTTTCATAGGGGATGAGAATGTGGTCAGCAATCAAATGCTTGAAATGTTCCTATCAAAAGATGTTTTCTCAACCAGTTGGGTTAAAGTTGATGGTGTAGAATATAGAGCTGGACTTGTGGTGTGCACTGCAATAGAAAATGAAATGCCAGTTTTCTGTCAAATAAGTGATGTACTTTTGGTTGACAATCACATTTATCTGTTGGCAAACAAACTATTCACAGATAAGTTTGATGAGCATCTTCATGCATTCAGAGTACTACGAAGTGAGGAAAGGTGTATTATAAAAATGTCAGAGATTAAATTTTATAAGCCATTTGATATTCAAAGTTCATACAGTGTTGCAGATGAAAGTTTGTATATCATACCTTCTTTTGTAATGTTTTAATTCGACTTCAAATTGCACTACAAGTGAGAATTAAAAATAAACAAGTTAATGGAACTTATTTTGTGTGCTGTAGTTTATTTAACATTATTTTGTAGATCTTTTGAGACTGTACAGATTTAAACTAATTGTAACCACCTAAAACATGCAACTCTGAACAGTGTTGTTTTTCTGTATCCATTTTTGTGTTATTTTAACACTTTTTTCAGAGTCAAATTAGGAACTCTGGCATAGTGTTACATATTTAACTATTTTGAAAGTGTTAATGTAACTCGGGAGAGTGTGGAGCTATATAAACTCTGAAAAGGTGTTGAAATCAACTCTGTGAGTTAATTTAACACTGGACTTTTTGCTGTGTATGTTAAGGGGTGTAACATTTCCGTCACACGCT